TTGATTAGTGTCTTTTTTTTTTTTGGTATTATCTTTCTTTAGCAGAAAGAGCCAGGACCCTCAAAAAAGGAGCGATTCTGTCCTAAATCCCCTGGGCGATTACTGATGAATCACATCTGGTTTGTTGGTAAACGCAGAGGTCAGCAGAAGCTGAGAAAATGGGTCTAATCAAGTGCACTGGTCTTCCTGCAGTTTGTCAGTGCAAAACACACCAATATTTCAAAGTGCACTGAAGACGAGGGCTGTGCAGAAAACTGCTCACTCATCAGTTAATGGTTTTGTCTTTAACAGAACTAGAATTTTTGGTAAATGAATTTGGCAGATTTGAATCAATGGTTCAGTGACACAGGACATGTGTAGAGGCTGTATTGTGGCAACATGAATAATGCTAATAATAAAACTGCACTTGGCCCTGTGAGCTTCAGTTGAATATCCTTAGATGTCACATTTCTAATAGTGTTTCCCACATACTTGTGTTCCACTTGTGGCGGGAAATAAGTGTGTGTGTGTGTAAAAGTGGGAGGAGGTGTCTTAAATAATAAATTATAAGCATTTTCTATGCAACTTGAGTCTGCACTTTGACCCAAGGGTTTTTGCTTTTTTTAAGCAATATCATCAGCTGTATCTTCAGTGAGTCTCATACTGCAGTTGAACTATGACTCCATAGTCTTTAGACTGTAGCTGGTAGCCCTTATTATTCCCTGCAGCCTCAGTGAGCTCGGTGTAGCGCCACACAAACCAGTTCTCCACCTGCTGCAGGTTCAGGCAGGTGTGAACCTCCAGCTCACAGTGGATCTTCAAAAGCACATCCACTGAGCAGCAGGTGAAAGCTGCAGCAGAGAAAACGTGCGAAGGGAAATGGTCAGTGCTTGCTGGTTATCAGCAACTGACCTTTCAAAATAAGAGTGCAGAAATTTTTCTAGTGTTAACTTGATCAGAGATGACGTCGGACTCAACGAGGAAAATAAAATAGAACAAAAACATTTATCAGGCACATTTAGGTAGCTGTTAATATACCTGAGCGGCCCGCCCAAGTAGAACCTGTGTGTGGGAAAACACTCTTACTGCTTTTCTCTTACCTCTTTTTCTTAACTGTCTCTTTTCTATCTCTTCTCTTTTCCAGTTTTGGTTCTTGTAATGGGCAAAGAAGGGGTCCATGGAGGCGGATTGAATAAGAAGGCTTACTCAATGGCAAAATACTTGAGGGATTCAGGGTTTTAATGATTTCAAGCTCACTTAGCTAAAATTTGAGGGACATAAAGAAGAGAAAAGAAATATTGCTGTTAAGATTTCTCCTGAAAGCAGTCAAATGTCTTGGAAACTTTTAATAGCAATGAAGAGTGGTAAGATGCTGTGTCACCTTTGTTCCCCCCTCCCCCATCCATCCTGTAGGGGGAGGGAGACTCTTCAATTCTGTTCATCTCTCTTTTTTTCCTTGTGTGCTCCAGTATTGGTTATAGTCATGGGAAAGGAGGCAGTCCATGGTGGAAATCTTAACAAGAAAGCACATGCAATGGCTGAGTACCTGAGGAAGTCTGGATATTAAGCAACCTCTCCACCCGTTCGTCACCTTAGCAGCTCACTACCACTCACCGTATTGTGTTGACACTACTTCCAGGATTAGGTGGCATACAGTGTTACTTCCTATCCAGTCTACTTTTATACACAACCTTTTGTTTGCTTAACCCTCCCAACACCACCCTCTTTATTTATTTTTATTTTTTTTAATGTTCCCCACTTAAACATTGTACTTCTGATGTTTCTGACACTACAGTAATGGCATGTTCATTGAAATGTTAACCACAAGTGTGCATCAAATATGATCGCAAAGTGTAATAAAAGCATTCAACAAATTTGGACTCGCCTTGTATAACATTCACTGCAGCAAGTGGCTAGTATTTGAACAGGAAGTACACATGTGATGGTGGTGAAGGTGCATAATTACGCATTTTCTTTCCCATTCTTTTGAGCATTACTAAAAGATGCTGGGTTATTTTTGTTTTATTTTTTTTAAAACAGCATGTTGGCATTTAAAAGTTGCATGCATACTCTCTGTAACACTTGGATCCCAGCCCGGCTCCCTCCTCTGTCCTAGCGCAGTATTCCAGCCAAAACCATCTTCTCATCTGCCTCCATTAAAGAAATGACAAACTTCCTCTAAAGTCCTGTATGTGTGTACCGATTCGCCGCACAACTTCTTCAACCCTCCATCACATGCTTTTCTTTGCTGTTGTACCTGAATGTGGTCTTAAAAGTTAACGATGTGGTGTTGGGCTGTTGTGTAAGGTCACCCATTACTGAGGTTGTCGTCTCACTTCACTATATTTCGGGAGTCTCGGCAGACATTCCACCTCTGTGCCAGCTGAGACGTCTGTCTGTCATCTCCTGCTATCTGTAAATTTTGCTGTAAAATCACTACATGCATACACACCCCTCTCCCCCACAAGTCTCCCTCCCTTTGGACCAATTGTCAATATAAAAGGGTTATCAGAACTCCTTCAGCTTATTCTGATGGATGATTGTTGGCATCACCTGTTGACTGTAAATCATTAAGACGACTACTTGAGATGACTGTAAAACATGTAACTGCTTCTTTAGACTTCAACACTACTTAAACTTCTCATCACTAATTGATTTGTCGCTAACTTCTTGTTCATTAACCGATGAAACTGAAATGTCATTGTACTACAGTATGAATGCATTTTGACTGTAAACTGAGGCTGCTGGGCTCCAGCGCCTTGGGATTATTTGCCTTGTGCTTTAGTCATCAAAGGTGTATTCACAAATTGTCATAGTACGGTACGTAGAAGTATATTTAAAAGAAAAAAAAAGATGCTGTGTACACTAAACATATTGAAAATGGTGTTGGTTGGAATAAGAACATTTGTAAGTTGTCTTGTGAATTTTTTTTTTTCTGAGAATAACTGTGTATTCTGTGCCATAAAAAAAAAAAAAATCAATATCTGATGATCTGTTGCTACCACAAGTTGGATTTTTAAACTGCTGCCCCAGCAAGAAGTAACTTTTAATGGCACTTTTCCTAAGGGATATTTTGGCATCAGTAATCTCCAGACTTTGTGGAATATGTACAGAATTAAACAACGGGGGGGAAAAAAAAAGTTTGGAATATTTTGTCCACTTTTCTTTGAGTGGGAAGTTTCCTTCTGCCACAAAATCTGCTGTTTCAAATGCCATGCATCGATGAGACGTCTTGTTTACAGACAGATCAAATAAACATTATTCCAACCAGAGGGAAAGCCAGTATGTCCAGTCTGTTGCCTCATCACTTCAATCTTTGTTTAATGGAGTAAATCAGGAGTTTTAGTGATTATAGCCGTAACTGGGGCAGTTTGAATTTATTGTGCTAATGATACACTGAATTAGCAACAGTACATACTCTGATTGGGAAAACACTGACCTAGATCTTATGATCAAACAGGAGAACGCTACTGCTACACTTAATGTGTGAATTATCACATTCCACTCTTTAATAGGAGAATGCACTCAAGTCTTGCCAAATCCCAGAAATAAACTTCCTGAAGTGTTTAATGACTGGAATCTGTAGGAATTACTAATTTTAATAAATTGCAGGCTGCCATCAAAGGGAAATCGCTTTGATCTGCTCGGGCTGCTTTGGTATTTTCAGTAGTTAAGGACAAACTTTTAAGGTTAAAACAATAAAATAAAGTTGATCTAAATGGGATTTGGGTGATAATCTGATTGTCTTACTTTCAGACCAGTTCCTAATCAAACCAAAGGAAAGAAAACATGCTAGACAGGAAGGATAAACTGGCTACACAGCTCTAAGTCTCTGAGACAAAATCAGTCATGTCTTTACTCATTTTCTCACTTGCAAAAAAAAAAGTCTCACGACATCATTGTCTTGTATAAAAACTAGCTGCATGTGTTTTTGCTACACTAGAGAAACACACTAGATTTTAGATATGCACCATATCAGGCACATTTCCTCAGAGTGGGACTCAAAGTTGGAAACTCAGGATGAGCGCTAGATTTCAGTAAAATTTGTGGTTCTAAATAGTGTTTGACTGCTTAGTATTGAGTTTAGTACAGCTGCTGCTTGCCCACCCAACCCACACTCCCCACACTTTGACCAGAATAAAGGAGACATGGATAGCAACACAATCCATATGTGATTTATTATTGCAGTGGAGTTTTGATTTGAGATTTTATTAAATTTTTCTTTTAAAAAAAGTTTCAAAGATGTTTCACACAAAATGAAGCAACAAAAAGTCTCAAAATTGGCCACTAAACAGGCTGTAGAAGAATTATATTACCATAAAATATAATCTGTATAGCATTATTCAGCCGAAGGAAAACTGAGCAGCAAAAAAGTTCTGTTAGAAAAATGGCAGCAGGGTAACTTGTTGTAAATCTTGTTGTCTTGTCAGAGCCACAGACTGACCCCCTGCTCTTAACTGCGCCATTGGCACCAGCTGCTGTGGTTAGGTGTTTGATTAGTCAAAATTAAGACCAGGTTTAGCACTACATGCTAAGAGGACTGATCAGTTTTTGTGGTACAGTCCTGGGACAGTGCTTTTTCCTCTGTTCCAATGGCGTGTAGAGAGAGCAGGGGTGTTAATGGCTCACTGTATTTTGGGCTCTTTTTGTTTTCTGCTTCACTTTGTCAATGCGCAACACTGACGAGGCTTAAAGCCCTGGATGAACTAGGTGGAAACTCAACGCTTAGTCAAAGTGGAGCTAAACGTCATCAGCATCATGGAAAACTTTCAATTGGGCAAAAGCTGCTGCGAGGTCCTAAACCCAACAGAAACAAGACCACAAACAACACCAGGGATGTTGAAACAGATTACCAGGCAGACGTGGGTACGTAAAGTTAAAATTGAAAGTGAGCCATGGCTCCAACATTTGGTCTCTTATGCTTGTAAAGGATTTTGTGTTCATAGTGTTTTAGGGCCTCTCTAGTAAACAACTGCATACCTTCGAAAACTAATTTCAAACCCTACTTTTGAAAGCCTGGGAGGAAGCTAAACAACCAGATGGACAATATGGTGGTCTCGACCTGGAGGCAATGGAACGACTCCTTAAGATGGAACCAAAGGTTGAATGTACGCTAGACTCCATGACGCTTCAGGTTCATGATGCTGCTTCTACCCCTGGATCTCTGCTTTTCGTGGACAGAGGTAAGTAGTTATGTTAAGGTCTGCGTAGTAGTTCCATGTAATGATTTTTACACCCTCCCCCTGCTGAACATCTCCCCCAGGAAACCATTTGTCTCCTTTGCCCCTGTCCAAGTTACCTTCGAGCTGCGGTTACACCATCAGCTCAACACGACGAGATCTCGTCCTAGTCGCACCCTATGATGGTTGCTTCGTCGCTCTCCAGGTGGGTCACTGTGATCTGAAGGCACTGCACATTTTAACCACGTGATTATGCATAATAGCTTCCTTGCTGCTTTCAGGAGGACACTTATGTTCTCCCACTGCTTTGGTGGGGCATACCAGTGAGGATGTCGTGCCCTTTCATGGGCTCGCTGTCACTGAATCCTCCGATGGTCACCTGCAATACTGCGGACATGCTCGTAAAAACAGAGTGGACCCTGCCCGTCTCCAATATTAAAGTTAAGTGTGAGTTTTTGGTCCCCATCATGTCTCTGTTTTTGTTTTTAAACCAGCACTAAAGACATGACATGTTGGCTAAACTGGCCTACAAATACTTTTTCCAAACCCTGTGTGACTATGACAACCACTTAAATTTCATGTAATTTAGATTCCCTTAAGGTTAACTGATGGTCCAAACTCCAGTGTGCGTGTTTTGTTTTTTGTCTAAACTTTTTAGCTTTCTATATGGCTTTCTATATTTTCTAAATGATAGCTTAGTTTGGCATCTAATTTTTAATCAGAGGGGACAAAAGATGACTTTAGGAGTAGGAAACCTAAGGTGAGTTCCTGCCTGCCATTTATTTTGCAGTGAACGGTAAATGGGAGCCACTAACAGTGGCCTCAAACAGATGTGGCTTCAGCACAGTCGAACATCCTGAAGGTGTGGTCATCTCTGCTCATTATGCGCCCTGCCTAGAGAAAAAGGTATGTTGTGTATGTTTGTTTTGATTTTTCTCCCTTTCTTAGGAAGAAGGATAACTTGTATTTCTGTTCAGGATGGGTTGTATACTCTGGAAGTTGCTGGAGATGGAGAAGCAACAATTTCCTGTCCATCACAATTACCAGCTCAGCCTGAATTCACAGAAAACCC